ATGACTATATACATGAATATTAATGTACTGGACTGCAGCACTTGAAATTCCAATCAGTCGATGCATCCTATGTGTGAGTGTATATATATGCACATGTGTATATGTCCATGCATAGCCTGCATGGATGTGATGTATCGCGGATAGCGGTGCTTATATTTTCGAGTCTGTGTATATTTCAGCGTGTAGTGAGTTAATTTTTTTTCCCCTCTGTTCTTTCAAGTAGAACAGCGTGCTTTGCTGTTGCAAATGCCTGCTGTTTCATTCAGTTCATTTTATTCTTTTATTTTTTTCATTCTCCAGTTCCCGAATGAACTAGTGTACAAAGTGCAAGTACTGAGTATTGCTTAATATTTGATAATCACTTTCTATTCAGTGAAACTCTTACTACTAACAGTATTTGTACTGTTTGAAACTGCAATACAATCTAAATAGTCATTGATTATTCTTCATTTTTCGTCTTCGTATTTTCGTTTTTGAGTGTTTTCACTTTGTTTTTTGTTTTTATTTCTTTTAGATGTTTAGAAGTGTGGTGGGCATGGCTTTGATTAGGTAAAGAAAAAATGCAAATTAATTCACAGTATGGAATCTTCTAAGCCTGAGCAAACCATGCAGTATTTGATATACACACATATATGGACATATATTATAGAGCTAGACTATTTAGTACAGATGCTTGATAAGGTGTGAGTTAATTGTGTGCAATTCTCTCATTTATGCATGTGTGACAAAGTTAACTTTTTCACTTTACATTATACCATTTGTTAAAGGCTTACAGCTTATCGGTGTCAACTGCTTATTTTATACATTCCGTCAGGGAGGATATATATACATATATAAGACGGTAGCACCAGTCTATATATATGTAGATATGCTGTGTGTGTGCGTTTTTGTTTTTTCTTTTGTTTGTTTTACTAGTTACATGTGTGGGGGTTTTTTGTCTTTTTCTTTTCAAATGAAGTTGCTTGTGCAGCACCAAAGACTGTAATTCATTTCTTGAGCAAGGTAGCTATTCTGTTTGCATAGACCTCAGTTGTACTGTAGTTGTAGAATGGGGTTAAATTAAAACAAAAAAAAGTTGTATTTAAAAAAAAACAACAAAACAAACAAAAAAACAGCTGAGGTTTTGTCTAGCTTATTGGGCAATTAATAAGTCGTATCATTTCTTTCTTGAATGTATCATAGATAAGCTGCTATATGATTGCCACTTCAATAGCTGTGAAATTAGGTGATTTCTCTCTGAGTTTAAACCTAGCGTTGCTATTTTTGTATAGGTCCCTAATTATCTGAAATAGAAGTGGTTTTGATTTTTGTGTTTTGCGTTCATATTTGAAGTGTCATTGTAACTACTGTATTGCTGATGATGAACATTAGTTGCATTTGTCGTTTCTCGGGGTGCGTGTTTTTTGCATCAGTATTTTATCCTTATTAACCTTTTGGGCTCGTCACTGCATATAAATGATGTATCGATGTAACTTAATTTTTGTATGTTTTCATATTGACGTTTTGTACACATCTGAAGCTATAGCTTGCAGGATTGAGTTAACTTTTTTATTGTGAGTAAACGGTGTGCTACCAGTACTCTCGTGGGTTATGAGGGCACTGCGAGATGCCGGGGGGGAAAACAAAAACATTGTGTTCCATTGGAAGACTTCTGTGTTGTTTCCACTAGTCACACACAAACGCACTTGCCACTAAGCACTTATAGAGGTAGGGAGGCTTGTTAGGGTTTGGGTGATTAGACTGTAAGAGAGAAATTTAGCCCAATTTTTCTGTTCTAAAATGATGTTTTCTGATTTGTTTTTGTTGTTAAATTGGTTTGATCAAAGTATTTATTGCAGCCCTTTTATCTGTTCAATGTTATATCTGGCTAGGATATCAGTTTCACAGTTTGATATTCTAAACTGCCTTGAGTTCAGATCGCTCTCCCCTTTATGAGTGTCTAATATCAAAACGACGTTTTGTTGGTGCGAAACAGTTACCGTTGTGATATGTCCTTTCTTGAAATTGAGACAGTGTGAGCAGCACTGTTTATGTGCCTTGAGATTCAGAAAGTGAGAATTCATGCTGGTGATTTCTTCCGGATTTATTTGAGGAAGGCGTAGAATTCAGTAACAGTTCCCTACAGTGTAGAATGGACAAGTTTTTAACAGACATTTGACCAAGAGTTTAAAGAGGAAAGTAAGAAAAACAAGAAGCAGAGAATAAAAACAACTCAAAGTAGGACTTCATCACAGTGACTCTGATCAGCTTATACACATGAACAGCGTAGTGGTGGTTCTCCGCTTGTTTCACACAGTCGCCACGTAAAACCTCTCTGATTAACACACACATGCGTGCGCTTTGAATGACACTCACTCAATGGTCTTTGGATAGTCACTCTGGCTGAACAGCAGATGCAATACTTTACATTGTGCGGTCATTGCACCACCAAGTGTTCTTAGATAATCTCCATGCTTTACATTACCTTGCATGTACACCTTAGATGCTTCACTTTGTCTGCCTAGAAGCTGACTGCCTAGAGCAGCGCTCCTATCATGCAAGCTGAAGCTGAGTGGGAGTAACCAGAGCACGGCTGACAACACTGGCCTTTTAAAAATCAGAAGCTATGCTTTATATCCAGCAAGAGTATATCTGGGTGTTTTTGTTCTGGGTTCTGGACGAAAAGAGCTCTGTCGAGGAGGTTGTCATGTTCTCTGTCAGTCATGAGTGCAATACTCCACATTTCGCCACTGACATTGATATGGTTGTATGTTTTTTAATAGCTTTTGTCTGACTTGTATGCTTTACTGATCATACTCAAATATCCCTTTGGGAAAGAAAGCTTATGATGACAAGGCATGGACTTGGCAGATTAGTGCTTGAAATAGTTCCCCCAATAATAAGCATGTGAAATGTAATCTGTGTTTTGATTCCTTCAAAGGTATTCACCAGCAATGCGCCTGCATAAACTCTCCCGTACTTGTTTAGGAAAAGAATGGATGCAAGAGGAGAGAAATCTTAAAACTGTTTTTAATTTTCCACAAGATTGACACCTTGATTTCTTTTCTTTTCTGTTTTTTTGTTTTTTTTATTTTGAAGATTCATCTAACATTTAACAGATAAAACAGTCATTTGTAAAATTACTTCTATTAATGTTATGACTTTGATATGGAAAAAAAATCCTCTGCTGCGGTATTATCCTTTAGAGATCTTAATTCAGGGTGTGTATTAGTCTAATTGTGCTACTGTGTAACTGTTTGATTTTAATATGAGATTTGTTTTACTCAAGCTCTTATTTTCAGTTTTCTGGTCACCTGTATCAATTTCAGAGTTAATTCACACTGCAAGTTATGGAATCATCTGTTTGGATTGCTCATCAATTAGACTTGATAATTAAATCTGAACTGTTACTGTTTTAATACCTGTAGATTTTTTTTTGTTTTGTTTTGTGGCTTTTATTTCCTCCTGTTTTTGGTTCGTTTGCTTTTTTAATTTTGTGCTACACTAGTTTGCCATGTAGCAATTGCACTGTGCAATATTTACAGTATGAGGACTGGGAAAACTAACTCTATGGATGTGATGTCTCTTTACAGTTTGCGATAGTGTTTCCTCTCTAGTTCTCAGTGATTTAGGTGTGACCAAGCCTTCTCTACTTTGTCACATTAAGCGGGTTTTCCAGGTGACTCTTTTGGTGAGTGTCAAAATAAGACTTTATGGTGTATTATTGTTAAGATTCACTTTGAATTAAAAAAAAATCTATTGATGCAGTTCTTTCTGATTTGGTCTGTTCATTCACATTAATGCACATTAATATAAATGATGGATTGGACTCATTTCTATTTGTTTTAGTGTGTGACAGGAAAAGTAGAGTTTGCAAGGTAGTATCTTGACATTTATTGTCAAAAACAAAAAGACTATCCTTTAGAATTGTTTCAGGAGAAAACTGCTCAATTATCAGACATGAGAACCTGGAATCAGACAAAAGATGATTTTTCTGTCAGTTAATCTGTTGCATTTAATCTCCAAACATGAATATGTTCGGATGAAACTGAAATTTGAACCTGAACACAATAAACTGCACCTATTGAAGAAGATTTTTGTGCTGTGATTGAAAGCTCCAAATCACAACAGTTCCCTCAATGGGCTTTATATTGTGCAGAGAAACCCAACAATCAGATTTGCCCATATGAGTAAGTACTTTGGTGACACTGGGAAGGAAGGACTCCCTTTTCTGACAAGAAGATGCCTCCGGCAGAACCAGGGTCTGTGAGGGGAAGACACCTGCTGCGACCGGTTGGGGATGAGGGGAGGAAGACCGGACAAAAGACACTGTGAAACGGTAAAAAAGATGAATAATGGCTTATGACACAGTGATAAAACGTTAATAAGAAGAAAGCTCCCAGCAGCCTCGATCTACTGCAGCGTCACTAAAGGGGAGGATTCAGGGTCACCTGATCCAGTCCCAACTATATGCTTAAAATCTATATTTTTAATATTTTATTTATAATATAATGTATTATATTTAAAATTAAAAATCAACAGCTGACATCTGTAGAAACTCACAGGAGGTAAAAACGGGAGTGTATGCGTCAAAAGCAGAAAAACATCGACGGCAGAAAAGTGTCTCCCGAATTCAAACCTGGAGCTTGTTCCACACATTCTTAAATAAGAAACACGAGTGAGCACAATTCTGAAAAATGTCAAATGATTATGGTTGCTAAATTACCTCAACCGGAAAGACGTGTTAATGTTCAAATGATAAAATGTTCAAATTGGTAAAAAATCGTGTTCAGTGGGCTTTGGTGTTGACGACCTGCTGTGTTTTCTGGGTCTGGCCTGCCATCCTGTGGACATCAAGAGGTACAACAGCCATTATCCGCACAATTAGGTATTCACGCATTGATTACGGTAACCATTAAGAAAGACAATGTACGTGTTAATAGGCTAGTGTCACGTGATTATTGTCGCTTTTAATATCAACCCAACATGTAAGAGCGCAAAGAAGACCAACCATCTTTTTTTTTAAGCAGCTCCACATAGAAATCTGATTCTTAACGAGTTACCGCCAGAAGAGGTCGTCCTGCCCTCTCGCTTCCATTCTCACTACAATTAACAGAGAGGTTAATTCGCCCAGTTTGGCCAGGAAGGTGGCACACTTCAAAATCATCCAGCCACAAGCAATCAGCGGTAGGCTGGCCTTTCTTTCATGACTGAATGTTGCCTGTGCGCAAGTAAATGCCTGCCATCCACCTGGACCAGGTCTGGATGTGGCACTTCACCGCCAACAGCTAAATGTCAAACCTTTGGCAAAGTGCGCGCGCCGCCCTGCGCCACACAGTGATGATGGGTGGACCGAGCGGAGAGGGGCGATAGGGCACATTTCTTAATTTCCCTTCAGCGCCGCTTCCCCCACCATCCAGACCTGGACACGCGACGAGACCGCGGGACGGCCCTGTTTCCCGTTCACACAGCGATCCAATGTATTATTCACGAGCGAAACTTCAGCAACTTGTCCACTGGATATGGCTCCCGGTTTGAGGAGTGGGCGGACAGGTCACCTCAGAGTGGCGGGAACCGGCGGGGCAGACCCCGATGGGTGCTCGCCGCAGCGGACGGATGCAGGAGGAGAGGGGAGGTGTTTGAGGACCAGGTTGCGAGTCGGAGCAGCGGGGATGCTTGCAAACTGTCTGCTGTCTGTAGCAGTGCTTTTACTTCTTGTCCGGTGCTCTTTGGCCGCAGAGGGTAAGCACGCGCCGTCGCGCTATCTGCTCCAACATGCCGTGGCAGAGTGTGATTTTTATGCGTTCACATTTTTCACATCTAGGCTGTGACATCTGCTGTGGAAGAATGAGAACATGCTGAGTGGAAAATGGATCTTTTGTTTAACACGGGCAGCGTTTTGTAATCCGCTGCTGGGTGCGTGATTCACGGGCTGTGTGGATGCAGCTATGGTCTGCTCAACAGCTTTCTAAATCATTTTTAGGAAAAGAAAACTTCTATCCTTTAGCCATGAATCCAAATCTCTACAGTGTGATACACTGTTGGGCTTCTGCAATGAATGAGATTAGGGAGTATTTTCTCCCCTGGACAAGGTCTCTTATAAACGGCACTGCCACGAGATGATATTTTAGGGATGCTGTTGATTCTGGTCTACTCGGGGTTTGCTCATATGTGATGTAACGCTCACCTGAGCCTGAAGCCTTTGTCTCACTGATCAGATTGCACTGCACAGAGCTCTGTTTCTCCTCAGGGTGAGCAATCTCATCCTCAACGTTGTCTCCCAATTCAACTTCACTTCCCCATTGTTCCTTTGATGGCATTTTATTTGTGTTGCATTTCAATGACAGAGGCTATTAAGCCCCATTATTACAGCCAGTAATGAGCTGTAAGGAGTTATTCTGGGAATGCAGTGCAGTGCGGTCACAGGACAGTGTTTCAGAGCATCTGGGTCAGCACTAATGACACACATACTGCTGCCCACTGTAGGTCTGTTTGTCTCCTCTGGCATGTGAGGCAGCTGGGGTAAGGTTGGCCGACTTAGCTGCCCTTCAGCCATCACCGTTTGCCGGGAAAAGTGGTTGAAACAAAAGAACAAGACAGTCAGTCTCTTCATGTGCACTGCCTCGACTGCACAGGTGTCCTTGAAATCTTGTCTGTCCACGAGTGAAAACAGAACAAACACAAGGTGTTCTTTGCAGGAACTAAACTGAGAGTGGCTCCATCAGCCCTTTCCAGTCTGCATACTGTGATGTAGTGGTGGCTGTAGTCTCACCTCTGCTGATGCACTGCTACAGTAGCAGAGTCTCCTCCTCCTCCCTCCCACCACCTCCTCCTTTTCACAGTCAGCACATCCATTCTTAAACACATGAACACAGCAGCAGCACCTGAGTTGTACAGATAGAAGTGCATTTTTTACAGTATTTAAGTGATGTTTTTGCATTTATCTGTGTGCTGTCTTTTAGGTAGCATCAGTGCAACCTGCACCCTTTCCTCCAAAAAATAATTCCACCTTTTCTTACATTTGATTCAGCTGATGAGAGTATGTAGCCTACACCACATGAGGTTTAATTGACAGATTTTTGCATTTAAGTGTCCAACAAAGGACATAAAACATTCCTTTTATGAGCTATAGCAAAAAAAAAGAAAAGAAATAAAATACAAATAAAAAAAATAATACTATTACATAATGGATATAAAGTACAAAATTATTACACAGAAACTTGAACACTGCAGTCTTCTATAAATTAATTCATGCAACATTGACTGGGGTCCATTACGTTTTCTCCAATTATCATTGAGATGTAATGGGAAACGATGGGAATACTGATGCCATTTTTCTTTTTCTTTATCCTCTATGTATCAAGAAAAACCTAGTAGCAAACTAAACTGTGTGGAGGTGGCCAACACTAACAGAGGCTCGTCAGACATTTATAAAATCAGACCTCGATGTCTAATAAATTCTCTTTTTAGCTTAAACTTTTGTAGGGCATCATTAAATGTGTAGGTACTAATAGAAAGCATTCTATAGCATTGAAATCTTAAAGGAGCACAATGGGGTGAAGGTGACGTGAAAGAAGTTTGGAACCTTCAGCACGCCTGAAATTGGATATCTGGTGGTTAGTTACACAGGGGTTCACACAAGGGTGTGGGGTTCTCCTGCTCTCATGCTCCCTATGCCTATGCTGGGGAGGTTCTGGTGGACTTTCTGGTTAAATAAAGGGGGGGGGGTTGAAGATGGCTTTCTTGAAGAAGGCGAGGGCAGTGACGCACAAAAAAAAAAAAAAAAAAAAAAAAAAGGGGGGGGGGGGGGGGGAGAACAAAGCTTTAGAAGCCTTCTACAGAGACCAGAGGACGACTGTCTCAGCAGTACTCCAAAAATCAGGCTTTTACGGTAGAATGGATAAACTGAAGCCACTCTTGAGTAAACATCACTGATGGCCTGCCTAGAGTTTGGGTAGAAGAAAAAATAATTTTCTGGTCTTATCAGGAAAACAAAAAAAGCCATTAAACTGCAAAGACTTAGAGGTGGCAATTCACAGATGCTTTTCATCCTATCTGACAAACCTTGATAGGAGTAGATTATGCCTGGGAGATCTGGGTAAACTGGCTAAATCCAGGTATTTAAAGCCTGCAAAAACTTATCCATAACGCTCTGCCAAAGTGGCTTTTACAAAGCCCAGAATTAAGGATTTATGCATGTTTGTTAATAAAACATTTCAATTTTCTGTCAGCACACTTTCACCTTATCATTATAGATAAATGCTTGACCTCTGTTATAGAAATTGTCCTCATTATACTGTGCAAGAAACAGCACTGAGCAGCTCATTTGTTTTATTTATTTATTTTTGCTTTGGATTGCATTTCCCTAAACTAATATACAATATATATTCTGGTTTAGTGCTATATTTGTGTATGCCTTTCTAAGGATTACTAAATAAAAAACACACTTAGTTTTCTGAACTCACTGCTGAACCAGAACAACATGTGATTTCTATGGTAACACCAATTTTTGACTAACAATGACATTTCCCCTTCAGAGCCCTCACCAGTCAGAGTCAATGTGAGATGCTGCGTCAGTGTGTGTGTCTTGAGTAATTTTCCAAGCAAAGACTAAGCTTTCGCCTCATGTTAGATTGTTGTTGAATAAATTCACAGAATCTCGTGCTGGCTTTATTGCTTTCTTATCAACAGCTGCTGAAATTATGCCCAGGGACATGCAGAAGAGCGAGCTAAGCAAAGGCTTCTGTATTCCTTCCATGATCAACTGACTTCTTCTGACGTAAGCTCTGTTTACTCCTGCGAGCACAGCCCGCCCGTTCGCTTATGAGTGCTGACAGCTTGGTTTTGACGCGGGGTTAACCTCATAGACCTCTGAGTATGAGAAGCCATCCCTGAGCTGTTGCCAGTCATCACTTTGTGCTTAGGAATTCATTGAAAGCAGGCATGAAAGTAAGATTGAAAGCTATTTCCTATTTGCAAAACATTCTGGGGGGTTTTTACTCATAAAATGAATGGTAATGTGAATTGAGTGGCTCATGACACTATCTGTGTGCCTGCGTTTTTTAAGTCTTTCTAGCTGTGCAGTTTTCTTTTGTGTGTGTGTGTTTTCTGTTTTCTTGCATCTAGATTAGTCTTTTCAGAGCTGTCAGGATGGTCAGTGTGAAACTAACTTCTACAGATTTTTTTTTTTTTTTTTTTTAAAACACCACTCACGGTTGGTTTGGTACACTGTCTACATGAGCTGTGGGTTTTGAAGTACAGGGAGGGCCATTTATATGGATACGTTACGTTGAAACCAAGCACACCATTGTTTTTCTTGTGACATTACCAATAAGTTTGATGTGTCACATGGCCCTCTTCCTATTGAAAAAAACAAAAGTTGTATCCAAGATGGCCGACTTCTAAATGGCCACTATGGTCACCACCCATCTTGAGGAGTTTGCCCTTTCACATATACTAATGTGCCACAAACAGGACTTTAATATCACCAACCATTCCCATTTCATTGTGTATCCATATAAATGGCCCTCCCTGTATATTCAGTTAGGGTTCTAGGCCTATTAACTTCTCGTTAATGATCATGATTGACTACAACTGGTAGTTTCTCTTTGTCAGCATAAAAAGGATTTGATTGATAGCACTCTGAACAATGGGAAAGGCCAAGGAACTCAGTGAAGATCTAAGAAGGTCTCTTGGAGCCATTTCTACTACAGGTTACTAGATCATTAGTTTAAATGACTAATGATCACTTTGTCAACACTTTGCCAAGGACTGGAAGAAGATCCAAACTGTCACCCTCAAATAAGAGCAAGTATGTTAGGATGTTCACGAACAATCAATGAACCACCAAGGCTCAAGCCTGCCATAAACTAAAAACTGCTGAAACACTGGTGTCACTGTCCACAGTGAAGGAAGTTTTAGATAATCAAGGACTAAGAGGATGGCGACCAAGAAAGAAACCACTGATCCAAAAACCCAAATAGTTGCTTCTGTTCATCTGGACATTGTGTTTTCACTGGGAGAAACGTTTCGTCACCCATCCAAGTGACTTCTTCAGTCTCAGCTGACTGCAGGCTTCCCCAACCTTATAAGCAGGACGTTTGCGTAACGACTGAAACTAGCACCACTGACTAACAATGGGCCATGAAGTCAGTTTCATGATCATTAATAAGCAAATTGTCATGACCATTGATCAATGAGTACTATTCACATGTACTGAATAGAAGTATACGTTTGGAGGAGTAAAGGTGAGGCTTTGCAAAATATTCTACCAGCTTTTAAGCACTGTGGTGATAGCATCATGCTTGGGTGCAGTTTTGCCACCAGTCGCATTGCTACATTGCACAAAATGGAAATGGATGAGGGCTACCTCAAAATTCTTAAACTTCACCTCAAATCGACAGCTAGACGGTTAAAGCTTGGACACAATTTGGATGTTCCATCAGCTCAATAATCCCAAACACACATGAAAATGAAGTTTGGAATGGATAAATCAGAGTAACAACAAGCTTCTGGAGTGGATTTTCTAAAGCCACAACCTCAACCCTATTGAAAATTTGCTAGATCTGTGCCAGTAAACCAACCTGTTTAAATGAACTTTACCAATTCTACCAAGAAGAATGATGAAATATCCAGCCAGAATTATGCCAAGTTTGTCGATGGCTAACAAAAGCATTTGGTTGAGTTGCAACGTGCAAAGGGCCATGTGACCAATTATTAGTGGGGTTCTATATATTTGATCC